CTGTGGTTTGGCATCTTTCATCAGTCTTGTCAGTTCTCAGCTATTGTTATGTATGGCTTCTGTCCTACTTGCCTCTCCTTTCCTTCTGAGACTCCAGCTACGTGTGTTAGACTTTCTCAGTCTGTTCTCTGTGTCTCTTAGGTCTTCTTTGTTTTTCGTATTTCTGTCCCTTCCTGCTGGATCACTTCTTCTGATCTAGCTTCCAGTTCATTTATTCCACCTTAGGTCTCTCTAACCTGCTGATAAATCCACTCATTGAGTTTTTACTGTGCTCGTCTCTTTTCAGTTCCAGAATTTCTATATTTCTTTAATAAATATGCTATTTCACTTTTTATATTTCAGTTCCTCACTTGGATTTTTGTATTATGTTTTATTTCTTTGAACATGGTCACCAATGGTGTTTCATTGTCTGTGTCTGGTAATCCAGTGTCTTAAGTCAAAGCAGATCAGTTTCTCTTGTATGTTCTTCCTGCTGGGCTCTCCTGGTTCTCTGTAGATCTAGTTACTTTTGCAATTTGATGCCTCGGATGCCACCTTCCTCCAAAGATGGTTTTCGGTTGCTCCTGCCATATGTCTAAATGTGCCACCATTCTGTGTTTGTCTTAATCCCAATTCAAGTGTTTCGGTTGCTTTGGCCAACTAGGTGACAGAGTAATTTTTGAAATGTACTGTTTAATTTTTTTCAAGTTTTTCTCATTTGGAGGACAGCTTAAATAACCTAGCCTGCAATTCCTAGAAGTGAAACTTTTTTCATTTTCTGAAACTTCTATAAGACAAAGATTAGATATTTTCTTTGTGTTTGTAGAATGGACATATGAAACCAGACGACCGTAGGCCTTTTCTCTGGTGCTTCCCTCTCTGGAATGTACCTCCACCTTCTGCCCATCTGATGCTCATCTAGTCACTTAAGATCCAGCTTCAGTGTCTTCTCCAGTAGGCTTTCTTCCCTTCCCAAGTCCCTGGCACGTTGTACATCCTTTTCTGGTGTTATTACATTGTATCATCAGAGTATATCTCTGGATTCCCTTCATAGGCAAAGAGCTTACTGATGCATGAGGTATCTCTGTAATGCTAAATGCCGATGTAGTCCACGGTAGGTGCTCAAAAATGTTGGCTTCATTGAAATATGAAACATAAAATTAAGAATGGATTGGTAGCAGTCGTAGGGAGTTAGGTGGCTAAGTAGGTCACTAAACTGTATAAAAACCATTGATCCCTACAACCCAACTATCAGTAGTAACGTCAAAATTATTGCCGTGAATACCAGCAGTGTATTATCAAGCACTTACTACCAACTATACCTCGAGCCTACCCACAGTGTCCTACTGCTCCTTCGTGTTTCTAATTTGCCCAACTACCTAACAGCTTTGCCACTTTATCCCTCCTAATTACTCAATTCTATACTATACGTAGTTCATTGCTAACATTTACTGAGCTAAGCTAAACAACGAAGGACACTGGGGTGACACAGACTGCCTCACCGAATCCTCCCAACCGCTCAGTTAAGTAGGTGTCCTTACCATTGCACTTTACAAATGAAAGAATAATAGGCTTAAAGGGACGGTTGCTTGTCCAAGGTGAGGTGCTAAGAGATGAAAGCAGGACTCACATCATCCACGTTTGCCCGATTCCAGAGCTCACGGTCTTTACCAGAGATTGGAAACCTTTCCTACGAAAGACTAGTTAACAGTTTAGGCTTTGTGGGCCATGCAGTCTCTGTCACAACCACTCAGCTCTGCCACTGTCACATCAAAGAAGCCATAGACAGTGTGACAGCTTCCAATAAAATGTATGAAAACAGATCAGGGGAAGACTGGCGTGCAGGCTGCAGTTTGCTGGTCCCTGCTCTTAACAATTGCACTATTCTGTTGTATTTCCCTTCAATCTCCAAAGTTTTCAGTTCAACAAATATTTATAGCATTGCTTCTAAGCACGGGGCAGTGAACGTGGTCCTGAGCAGGATGAGGAAGATAAAGGCCCTGCCTTGAGGGATCTTAGATGCCAGAGACAGTACACAAACACATTTATAGTGCAAGGCTGACTATGGACAGTTAGTGCCAAAGAGAGGTATTGAGCATCCACCAAAACGTGTTTGGATGGAGAAGCTGATTTATGGCGTAAGCTTTCTAGTGAGAAAATCACAGGCAGAGGTGGTTAAGGGGAACGTTTCAGAGAGAGGAGCCAACACAAGCAAGAATGTTTCTAGTCACCTGTCACTCACCTTTCACTCTCTTAACCAGCACCCACTTGCTTCCTTCTTTTCCTTGCCAAAACCAGAGCCATGTGCGCTTTCGTCCAAATCTTTTTGCTTTGCGCCTCACCTGCTTTCCCCCTTGCTTTCCTTTCCCTCTCTTTCTTTTTCCTTTCCTTTTGTTTATTTTCACTCCTTGATTATTGAATCATAGCTGATGTAGTTCTTCTCCAGTGGGCTCAAGACAAACTTCTATCACAAATTTCATCTGAAGTTTAATTCACAGACATCAACATAGTGCTGTGTTCATCCTAAGGCATAGTTATATAACATTTAAAAATGCCATTTAGCCCAAGTGAAATATTAACTTAGTTCTGTCAATTCAGCCAAGGTCGAAATCCTCTAGTCAATTTCAGGTGGTCAATAACACCCCCCTGTCTGACCAACATAATATCCTTTTGTTTCTCATACTCACTCATACTTCTAGTCTGTCCTATTTATGTCTCTATTTCTCTTTTAATCTTCTTCTTTACAATTTTTTTCTTCCTGTTTTCCATCCTTCCTCTTTCTTGTATTTTTTGGATTGTTGGCCTTCTTCTGGAAGCATGTTGTTTTCTTTCTCCTTTCTGAAAATATATCTTAAAAAATTCTTTGTTTATTAATTTAACTAATTTTATTGAGCAATTACTACATAGTCAGTTGTTTTCTAGATGCCGAAGATGAAGTTGAAAAAAACAGACAAAAATCTGTCCTTATGGAGCTTAAACATTCTGGCAGTAAACAAAATAGATCAAGTAACAATAAATAAATAGGTAAGTAAACGATATGATATAGAGTGTTAAGGGCTATGGAGAAAATCCTCAAAGATAAGGAATTTGGGTGGTGTGTTACAATTTCAAAGACTGATAAGGGAAACTCATTAAGAGATCTTTTGAGCAGATGAAGGAAGTAAGGAAGTAAACCACACAAGTATCTGCTGGGAGTGCACTGAAGGTGTTCCACGCAAAAGGAACAGCATGTGCAAAGTCCTGAGGCAGGAGGGAACCTCCCCTGTTGGAGTACAAGGAGGCTGGGGTGGTGGAAGCACAATGGAGGAGGATCAGAATAGGGGGAGGAGGAGGGAGGCAGACTATTTAGGGGCTTTTCCATTGGAAGAACTCTGGCTTTTGCGAAATGGAAATTCTTCAGAGGATTTTGAGCAAAGTGAAATGTTGACTTACATTTTTACAGGATCTAGACTGCAGGGAGGCAAGAGAAGAAGCAAAGAGAGCAATCAGGTTCATACTGCAATATTCCAGGCAATGAACTTGAATATTACAGGAAATGTTTTCTGGAAGAATCAGAGTAGTTACTTTTGTTTTACAATTAAGGATAGGAAGCTAAGGGGTAAGATCTTGATTCCTGATGACACATTTTATTATTCCCTGTTCCTCGGGGAAAAATTAGGAGATTTTGCCCTGCTAAGGATTGTTAGGCATTTTGAATGGTCTTGAGCACTGCTAGGTGATCTAATGCCCAGCATATAGTAGATACATGGAAATATTTGTGGAATGAACAAATAGGTAAGGCTGAATTACAATATCAGGTAACTTGCTGTTTACGTTTCAGTTCTGCTGCTGGTGTTTATCGGGTCTCTAGATTTTATTTGGCTAAGAACATCAAGAGCACTGTCTTATAAACACACTCCTATTCCTCAAATCGAAATGGAGGGGACGTATTTATGCATTTTAAGTGGTTGCCACAGCCATTTGTACAGCCCTCTATCACAGCAGTTATCAACTGCACTGTTATTTTTCTCTCTCTCTCCCAATAGACTTTGAGTTCCTTCAGGGTTCAGATCAGCTCTTACTGATCTTTATATAGTCGGCCCTCAGGTTCCACATCCTCGGATTCGGAGGGCTGACTATGGGACTTGGGTGCCCTGGAACCAATTCCGCGTGGATACTGAGGGGCCATGGGCTTGGCACCACTGCTTATTGACATGATAAAGGGAAGTGGAAAGAACATACGTGAATTATCAAAAGCCCAGAGAAGCCTTCTCTGAGTCCTATAAAATACACTCATTTCCCTTTAGAAAGACACAATTCTTGTGGAACTTAGCTCTTTGACTTCTAATCATATATTAAGCCCTAGATGAGCTGGAGCAATGTATTCTCACCCCAAGCAGGCCTGGTAAATGATCTGTCAGCAACAGTAAATGATTGCTAAGTGCTGGGAATTGAGCTTCCAGGGTCTGAGACTTGCACGCTGGTGAGATGGCTCCAGCCTCCAATGGGTGGGTATGTGCACTGATCAGTCCAGTCCACCCCACGATCCAGGTCTTCAGCCTTCTCTTAGAGGTGGGGGGGTGGGGGTGGGGCGGCTCTGCAGGGCTCCTCTCCCTTCCTCCAACCCCCACCCCCGTCCAGAACCCGCCTGCCAGCATCTCGTCCCTCAGGGTGAACCTGTACCCCCAAACCCCTCCTGTCGAGACCTCCCAGGCCTGCATGTCTCCTCTCAGGGTAAACCGTCGAGATCTCCCCCGCTCATCTCCCCTCTCAGGGTGACCCTGTCCCCCAAACACCCTCCCGTCGAGACACCCTCTGCCCGCATCTCCCCTCTTAGGATGAACCTGCCCCCCAAACCCACTGCCGTCGAGACCCCCTGCCCGCATCTCGCCCCTCAGGGTGAACCTGTCCCCCAAACCCCCTGCCGACTTCTCCTCTGGGATCCCACACCCTCCTGGCGTCCCCGCCCCCTCACACACAACTTCCGCCCGCGCCCCCTCCTCTCAGGCCGAACTTCCGGCCGGCGCCCCCTCCCTGCAGGCGGGACTTCCGCCCGCGCCCCCTCCCCTCGCCGCGCCGTCGCGTCCTCCGGCCCGAGGCCCTCCCGGCCGCGTGCCCTCGCGCCCTCCCGCCCCGGCCGCGGCTGCAGTGGCACTGAGGCGGCGGCGGCGGCGGCGTCCGGAGGCTGCGGGCGCCCCTCCCCCTCCTGCTTTCCCTGCTGCTGCTCCTCCTCCTGCTCCTCGTCGTCGCCCGCTCGGCCCGAGCTGCGAGCGGCAAGATGGCCGCGCCCAGGCCGCCGCCCGCCAGGCTGTCCGGCGTCATGGTGCCCGCGCCCATCCAGGACCTGGAGGCTCTGCGCGCGCTGACGGCGCTCTTCAAAGAGCAGCGGAATCGGTAACGGCCCGGGCGGCGCGAGCGTCGGGGGCGGCCCGGCTGCGGGAGCGGTGCGGGGAAGGGGGCGCCCGGCGCGGCCCGGCGGTGCAGAGGCCCGCCCCCTCCTCCCGGATGGCCGCGGGGTGGAGGCCTCCGCGCGCCGCCCGGGGGGGCCCCGGGCCGCCGATGCCAGGCCCACGTCCTCCCGCGCGGGTCCCCGAGGCGCCCTGGGGGTTGACACCTGCTCCCTGCTCGCTAGTACAGTTGTGAAGTCGGGCGCGGGAAGGGGACGGATACATGGGAGCTTTCCGCCACGTTATGCGTGTTTTGTTAGCTGAGCACGCGTTGATGGCGCACCTGTAACGTGCAGGGTCCTCTCGGAGGCCCTGGCTGGGAGCCGACTGACAGGCCCCAGAGTCAGATGGTGGGCGAGAGTGTGCTGGTGGGCGAGAGACACGCTACGGATGTGCAAGGTGGGACGTGGCGTGAACACCATTTCCCATCTGTGAGACTAAGATTGGCACTCCATTCTGCCTGACTGTCAGCCCAGGCTTTGCCATTTCCAGTGGTGGCAGCGCCACTTCAATCCTGATTCTGCCGCTGAAGGGCCAGATAGCCATTGTAAAAGGTACCCAGGAGCCTGACGGACCTGGACTTGGTTCCTGGCTTTACAAGCTGTGCCTTATTGTGCAGTTTCTCCAAGCCTTAGATTTCTTGCCTGAAAATGGGAGTATAATACATAATTTTATTGCTGAATTGTACAGAGGAATAAATGAAATAAAGCATCTGAAAATTTAAAGTATGTGACAATCTCAGTCAATGCTTGTTTGATTTTGTCCTAGTCTTCTCTGGGCCTCAGTTTCCACGTCTATTTAATAGGAAAAATGTTGGACAGTACCTTCCTGGTGAGATTATTTGTAAGGATTAAATGAGATAATGTGTATTAAATGCTTGATGGATACCTGATACATAGTACTAAATAAATATTAGCTGATACTGTTATTATTTAATACATTTGTGGGTGATCTCCCATGTGCCAGGTTTTGTGCCAGGCGATGCAGCTGAAAAATGAAAAGTCCTTTCCTGGGAAGCCCTATTCTGGGGAGACAGCAGATGATTATACAGTCATGGGAAATTGCACAAAGAGCAGAGGGAGCATAGAAGAAAGGGAGTTGGTCCAGATGGTCCATAGAGGGACCTTTTGGTCTGAGCATTTCTGCCTCCTATCACAATAGGAAGCACTGAGCTGTTGAAAGTGCTAAGAGCCCAGGGCCCTGCTCTTTGGGCTTTTGGGGAGATATGTTAATTGATATGATACCCCTGGGAGGTGTATTGATTGAGTTAATGCTTTGGCATGTCTTTACCATGGTGGACTCTTCCTTTAGTCAGAGATCAGTCATCAGCCTTTACTGAACATCTGCTCTGAAACAGGTTCTTTGTAGGGGCTGAAGGTGCAAAGATAAGTGTGACATCCCTTTTTTTAAGCATGTTAGCGTAATTGCCGTGTAAACGAATTGTAACAGGGGTCCAGTCTAGAAGAGTTAGTGGCACAAGGGAGCTTGTGGATCTGATGTATAGATTGGTGGGCCAGGAAGGGCCATTGGGTTACTTTGGCTGCATGGCCTACAGGTGAGAGGGCTAATTAGAAAGAACAATATATGCAAAGGGACTGTATGCTGACTTTGGGGATTCACTAGTGTCCCTCAGAGGGGTCTCATGGGGTTTGGACCAGAGTCCAGCTGCTCTGAGAGGATCCATTCAGTGCAGATGGACCTGGAGGGAAGGGAAGATGGGCCAAGGTGCCAGGAGCTGGGTGGGACAGAAAGTGAAGCAAAATGCAGCCTCAGGGTAGCAAATAGAAAGACACCAGACAAAGCAAAAGTAAGTAAGTGATGGAACAAAAGGATTCTTCTCTGCTTGAGTGTGGGCTGAACTTAGTGGCTTGCTTTTAAATAATAGGCTTGGGGGAAGTGACATTGTGACTTCTGAGATGTAAAAGGCACTGCAGCTCCCTCTTTGCTTTCCTCTTGGATCACTCGCTCCAACAGAGCCAGCTGCCATGTCATGGGGGCACTCAGGCACCCACGTAGAGAAATCTGCATGCTGAGGGATTGAGGCCTCCTGCCAGTGGTCATGTGATGCACCGCCCTGGAAGCAGATCCTCTCAGTCCCCGTCCACTTCAGCTGTGTCCCCCTCGTGAGCGACCCTGAGCCAGAACCACTCCACTCAGATTCCTGACCCTCTGGCCTGTGTGAGACCACACATGTGATTGTTTTAAAGTACTACGTTTGGGGGTAGTTTGTTATATAGCAATAGATCATTACTATATCAATCTAAAATTTTCTTCCTTTCGATTAAACTCATATTATAGAATGTAATGGGAAATAGTGTCTTAACTGCTAAAATCCATAAAAATTAATTATGGTCAGAAAATATCAGTATTAAGATACTGTGAGCTATTTCTTCTCTGTGGAAGGTAATTCTTTTTCTTAATAGTTTTAAATTTGTCTTATACCTTTTGTTTAATACACATCTGCATTTTTTCTCAAGTTTTTAAAAATTATTTTAATTCTTAAATTTTAATTTTTTCATAATAATTTTAAATTTGTTTAATATCATTTGTTTAATATACATATCTCCATTTATTTAACAAACAATTTTTCTTGCTGTGCTGTGAGTCTTTACAAGTCCTGTTAAATTCATTCTGGAGGAAAGTAAGATATAAATACACTAAAAATTCTGTTTTCACCCTTTTCCTGGAGGCTTTATTTTCCAGTCCTTTAGCTATCCTTAGGATATTTCTACATCATTTTTGCTAATGATGTACCCAGACCCCCCCTATTGAAGTGTAGAGCCAGGTGAGATTGGTTGTCATACTGTGTACCTCCAGTGTCCGTGTAACCAGTCGCTTCATGTGGCTGTTTAAATTAATTAGCAATAAGTAAAATTAATAATTACATTTCTTCCTTGGACCAGCCACATTTTAACTACTCTGTAGCCACATGTGGCTAGTGGTTACCTTACTGGACCATGCAGATACAGAGTATTTCCATCATTACCAAAAGTTCTTTTGACTAATGCTACTCTATAATTTATTTTTTTGTGTAGGAAGATTATGTTCTGGTTCTTGAGTATTTGAGAAAGAATAGTAACATTTGGATGCTACTTTCTGTAAATTCTTTTCACACTTAAACTGATACCTCATTGCTCTTCCGTCAGATAAGCTCCTTGAGTAAAGTGAGTGCATCACACTCCCTGTATCCCTAGCACCGCAGTCAGTCTGATAATTGAAGATGTTTAACAAATTCTTGTGGAATTGCAGCTATTTGCATAACTTACTACTCAGCGGCGCGTGCTTGGTCTTTTTCTTCCATACTCATGTAGATAATAACTTTTTAAAAGAGTCTGTCAGCGTGGCTTCTTTTTTCTCTTTAATCTGTCTTTAGTCAAAGGTATATTTCTGATTACTTTCTTCCAGGCTCTGTTCCTGTGTAATAGTGCAGATACTTCCCTCCATACTTCTGAACCCCTTTATATCCTATAAGCTCTATTGTCCTTTTTTTTTTTTTAAGAAAGCACATTCTAACATACTATGTAATCATTGAGTGGTGTCTTATTTATTCTGTGCCTCCTTCCAGAATGGAAGGCCCATGAGGACAGAGATGGTTAGCTTTTTTACAATTACCTGTTAGGATAATACTTCTTGAACTGGATGTCTTTGAACAATTTGGGAAATTGTCAGCCAGTATTTCTTCAAATACGGCTTCTCTCCCATTCTTTCCCTTCTTTCAGGGACTCCAATTACACATATGTTAAACCTTCCACTATGTTTTACATGTTTCATAGCCTCCTTTCTGTATTTCCCATTCTGTCTGAGCTTCTGTTTGAAAATTTTCTGCTAATCGCCCTTCTAGTTCCCTTCTCTTTTCTACTTTGTCTAATCTGCTGTCATCTATTGTGTTCTTAGTTTCTGTTATATTTTTGAGTTATTGTAGAATTTATTTATGTTTTTAATGAATTACTCTGTTGAAAGTTCATTTTGTTATTTACCTTAAGCACATGAATTATTGTCATTTTAGAGAAAGTGCCTGATAAATATGTATTGCCAGTTTTTGTCTTCTTGTGTTCAGTCATTTGGTCCTGTCTTTTATTGCATGCTGAGTGTTGTGTGAGGAATGTTAAGGCCATTTCCAGATATCTTCCCTTTGCAAAATATTTGCAAACTCTAAACCAAGATCAGTTTAAAACTTATTTCTTAAAATGAGGTATCACCTCACACCGGTCAGAATGGCCATAATTCAAAAGTCCAGAAAGGATAAATGCTGGAGAGGATGTGGAGAAAAGGGAACCCTCCTACACTGTTGGTGAGAATGTAGTTTGGTACAGCCATTGTGGAAACAGTATGGAGATTCCTCAAAAGACTAAAAATAGACTTACCATATGATCTGGCAAACCCGCTCCTGGGCATATGTCCAGAGGGAACCTTAATTCAAAAAGACACCTGCACCCCAGTGTTCACAGCAGCACTGTTAACAATAGCCAAGACGTGGAAACAACCTAAATGTCCATCGACAGATGACTGGATAAAGAAAATGTGGTATAGTTATATAATGGAATACTACTCAGCCATGAAAATAATAAAATAATGCCATTTGCATCAACATTGATGGCCCTGGAGAATGTCATTCTAAGTCTAAGTAAGCCAGAAAGAAAAAGAAAGACACCGTATGCTATCACTCATATGTGGAATCTGAAAAAAGACAAATGAACTTATTTATAAAACAGAAACAGACTCACAGATACAGAAAACAAACCTGTGGTTACCAGGAGGGAAGAGGGTGGGAAGGAATAAATTGGGAGTTTGAGATTTGCAGACACTGGTATATATAAAATAGATAAACTACAAGTTTAGACTGTGTAGCGCAGGGAAATAAATATATTTGATATCTTATAGTATTGGTGAAAAAGAATATGAAAGTGAACATACGTATATTTATGTATGACTGAAGCATTGTGCTGT